CTGGAAAACACCAACTGAACAGTTACGGACTATTGGAGGGGAAGGCAAAACCTTCACATACATCTTGTTTATAAAAACGCTGTATCCGTCTTCATCTCGAATAGGTCTTCCTAAACTTTCCTGGTTACTCATTGACTATCAATCAGATGTAAACGAATGCTACAGAGCGATTCACAAATTACGTTATACATCTCACTGTTTAATAGACGCGAAGCGGATTTATGAGAAAACCACATACTACTCGCATCGGTAGTATTCACCGTTACAAAGGTAACGCGAATCACTCACAACTATGCTAAGTGTGGATGTACACTTAGCTTCGCCATGCGAATAAGAATGATGCACTCAGACAACAAAATATGCAGCTTCGAGACCTGTAAGCTTTCTCATGCACAGTGAGATTTGTCAATTGAAGCCCATGTTGTGAGGCCCTTAGACAATGGGCTGCCTAAAGCAAGCCAGTCCTCGTCGATTCAGAGGCACAGTGATCAAGACTCTGGTGGCCGCTAACTAGTTTTCAGTGTGCCAACTGGTGGGCGTTACGGCCAAATTTGGGCACATCTGGGCACATTTTTTTACAAAACCGTATTGGTCATGTCGGAAAAATCGATTTGGGACTTTTTACAAAACCCTGTTGGTCATGTCGGAAAAATCGATTTGGGACAAACTGAAAACATGGTCGTACGTTTGTTAACTGACCGGAGCCAATATGGTGCACTCTTGAGGAATATGAGACTGTCACAGTTAGGCCGCATTAACTGAGATACAGTTAATAAATCCAATGTAAGCTTCAACATGATACCTTGCCCTTCTCCAACACTGTTTCGTACATTTCCAAATCAACCGGGATGTGAGAAATGAAATCATCGTTCAATGGTATTGTTCTCGTATAATTGTTTTGTTTTGTTGGTACAGTTTTTACTGATCCAGTTGGATTTTTGCCGTTCTATCGATCCACCTAAGCTGCACTTTCGCATTCCTTCTACTTCACAGCACTAATTCTCAATGAACTCACACAATACTACTCTCTCATTTGATGAATTTCGTTTTTGCACCCTGATGCTCCCTGTGGTTTGTTCCTCCTAAACAGAGACCACTCCCTCTGCTAAGGAGCTGCTTCGTCGCGATCTCTTACTTACAGATTGGCCGGCAGGATACCAACCCTGTGTAACCTTGAAAGAAGGCGAAAATGTTTGGAAATTTTGAGTCTAGTATGTTCCAACAAGGAACGTACTTTTTCCGAAATGAGACGCCTTGTGGAAGGTTCGTTTAAAATCCAACTTTAGCTCTACTAATGCTCTACTAACTACCTGGCAACGATGACTAAACTATCCGCAAAGAGGAGTAACTCCATGGCTTGTGTGCAGTAAAACAAATCAGGAGAGCTGAAAAACAACTTGAGTTTGATGCTGGCTGACCTGGTTTCTCTCTGTTAAGACTTTAATGGCTTGGAAACATTGTGAGCACAATCATTCAAATAAAAAACTAACCATGTGATCGGCAATGAAGTCAAGCGATCCAAAGAAATAGGGTGTTCCTGTCCCGTAAAGCTGCGAAAGCTTTTATCCGCTGTTTCTTCGAAAAACTTTCGTAAATCAGGTGCATCTCATTAAGGAAACTAGTCACAAGGTTGCTGAAAACTCTACGACAGCCCACAACCGGTTTTGCCCTTCTTGGGGCTCATCAACTAGGTGCAGTCCCCGAGTTTCCGTCAACCTTATGTTCTACTGTATGGTTGATAACTGGCGACTATAGATCAGGTGGCTGTTGAAAATATACTGCGATATCTCGAATATCGTATTAACTGAAACCTGAGGTGGCCTGTATGCAGCACTTCCAGTTATAGAGTATCATAAACGAGAGATTCAGTTGAGTCTCTCGTGAAAACCAAATTGATTTGCAAATGAGTGTATTCCTCGAAAAGAGATGCATCTCAGTTCACGCTCGCCTCAGACTAATGGTGGCTTGGAGTATCAAATAAGTCTAAATTTTGCTGCAGACAGATTCTATCTAACAATACCCACTCCCTTAGAACCGATTATCAGGGGTACACCCCCGATAATTTTGACGTTGCAACCGTGGGAGTGGATGATGTAAACTATTTAAGCCTGGTTCAGACAGTTTCAAACACCACCTGTTCACTCTATCTGCATGCGTTGGGGTGAGATGAAAGTCCAAATTCTTGATCACACTGAGGTTTCCAACTACAAGTGAAGTCAGCATATGCCAAAAAGCCTGCAAGCGGTGCACTTCTTTACTGGGGGTTATCAGCAGTGCCCATCTCAAGAAAACCCTCAAACTGTCAACTGACTCGAAAGTGGAACAACTCACAAGCTGTGGAAACCTTCTAGGAGGAATGTCATTGCTCCAGAGGCCAGTCCACAGAGGAACATGAGATGTAAACACCGTCATTAAAGGATAAATAGCCCTGCATCCTGTCCAAAATTCTAGCCAACGGTTCGTGACCGAACGTTTAAGCGTTCAAAATACTACCTGGGAGGTTGCGTGTTCGTGAGATACGCCTTCTTGATGATTCTCATGAGGACAAAACAGCTGTTTCTCGGCTTCCCCGCACACATCAGTTTCAAACGCAAGAAGAAATCTAGGTTGAAGTTTTCAGATCTCTACATCTTATTGTTGTTGGACTGCATTCAAATAAAGAGGTATGTTAGTTGATTCATTTGTCAAAATGATTTATCAACGAATTTTGATCAGGATATGTTTCACCTGATGATAAAACTGAGGATGGCTGATCAAGCGACCTGAACGAAGGTTGAACAGTGAATGGTAAGCTAAAGGACAGTGCTTATGACACTATGAAAAAAGTTGCAGACTGCCATCTCCTTGGCTCTAATCTTATACTACCACCGGTTTACACTACTGATGAAACGCACGAGTAGTATCTTTCCAGGTGTGAATGCGTCGTCTGATAATCCGATGGAGGTTTGATATGGAAATTATTGATCCGCCTCTTATTGTTTGTTTTTTTATTGCCTCGTATTTCAGGAACTCTTAGGAAAGTTCATAAGGATACTTGAGAATGTTTACTTTTCAAAAATCCAAGGCAAATGCGGTTTTTAATTTTACGTCGGGACCAACAGAGATATCCGCACTCAGAGGCGCTCCTCCTCTCACCATCAGCTATCCAACAAGCTACGCAGTCCCGCATAAGTGGCGCCGTAGTGGGCATCCTCCAAAAAGTATATATATAGTAATTAGCCTGGAGGAAGCGTTATATATATATATATATATATGATGCTGTTGCTGCTACTGATGATGATGATGATGATGTTTCAGCATGGTATTTCAAGAACCAGCTTTGAGTAACAGCTATCGATTAAGCGCCACCAACGCTGTGCGGTAACTCACCTCCACTGTGGTATGCATTGTCGAGCGGTCATCTCACAGTTTGTAGGCGTAACTTATTATCTACTAAGGTGGAACACGATATCTCCGTCCTAGTCTTCTTATGTGTGTGTGTGTGTTTGTTACTTGGGGTTGGAATCCAACCATTTCTTGAGGTAGACCACATCAACTGCCGGATTAACCAGTAATCTCGAATCGGCATACGGGAGACCTCAAAAAAAAGAAACCGGGAAGGAAGTTCGTCCTGTGGTCGCATGGCGAACTAAACGGACGAAAACAAGTGTTTGATCAATGCTGTTACGCAACCGAAACGCTAGCCTTTAATAAAGTGAACTGATTAAGAGCCAAAGATCTCAGTCTGTGTGCATAAAAGTCACTCAACCCATCAACTCAAAAAGGTCTAAGCCTTTCGCTGTCTAACTGCCACACCATTCGAAGGACGCACTAAGGATGAGATACTGTCAGGCTGGTCAAGCACATACAGGAGCAGTCGATGTGTAGAGGTTAGGTTCGAACCACGGCTTGTATGTACACGTTGTCCGGAGGCCAGTAGTCCCTAATAACCCAACATTTGGTCGGATGTTTCACGTGAAGGACACGGACCAAACGGACGCATACCCTGATTGGTCAGAATGCCAGCCAATCCGAATGGAGCAACTTTGACTCGACGCTACTCGCCCCCTCACGGACATTCTGACCGACCTTGTGGGACACTGTGACTACCTTATGAATACGGTCGTCATAATTTTCCTTTCTCTCCATAACGGGCTGTGCAGAGTTACCGTGCCTTTTGATATACCATAGTGGGCGGAGCAGGAAGACAAGGGACCGATACAGAGTTGCACTACTGTTCAGCATGACACAACACATGTCTTAACCAATAGACCATACTGAACCGTGTTCACTCACAACTGATGAATTTTCTACGTCTGCAGCCGACGAAATCATCCTGAAACGTAGCCACTTATCAAATGGTTAATGTTTCCGGTGTAATGCATGAAGGAGATGCGTCTCAAAACTTAATGAATCTACGAGGCTCTCTGAAGTGATTCGACCAATTCGTTAACCCCCAACCGACCTTAATGCTTGCGCAAAGCAGACTGTACGTGAGCCAGAAACGACAGTTAAGAACCGAGCCCTCCCGTCTGGTTGTTTGAAAGACCAAAACGGTTACTTTCTTGTGCCCACTTCGGCTTAGTAAACTTGTGAAAAATTGTTGATTCCCATTGGGTATTCATGGGTGAATTCGGGAAGTTCCCGGGGAAGAAACACTTCACAGCCATGATTCTTTCGACTGGGTCACCCACTGCCATTCGTGGAATATCATAGCACTACTTAGATTCAAAATATGCACGCTCAGGCGTAGTGTAAGCGCACTGTCAATATGAGAAGAACGCCTCGCCACTCACTTCATGCTCCCGCTCACGGAGCTCTTCTAGTTCCAACTCGAACTTCTTTTGTGTCTTCTTGAGGAGACTCCGAGCATCAGATATGTGTCGTTCTGCGTTCGACCTCATCGACTCCATTCTTGCGTTTTGTTCAACCAGCAAACTTTGTGCTATGCTCCTCATGCCTCGGACGCGTTGTTGTACACTGTCTGAGAAAGCAACCAGCAGTGACTTCCAATCCTGATTTCCCGCATGACCAAAGCAAGTGGAGTTCTGGACTGTTTGGTCCAAATCATCAAGCCTAAAAAGTGGAAATATCAGTATTTCTATTATTACTACTATTATTATTAGTAGTAGTATTGTCATTGTTGGCGCGATCAGTTGTTGTGTTGAGTGTACAATTCTATAATTGGACATGGCGTATTAGATAGCCGATGACATCAGTTGATGTACTCGATTCCGTTACTATTATATATGCGTGGTTTTGACGTATTATCTGTATTACCTGCATTACGTATGAAGGAATCGAGACAACAGTCTAAGGTATTCTATACCTTCTAGGCCACGCAGTTGCTTGAATTTGAACAGCCAGGTTCACTATCCTAGCAAGAACTGATTTGCGAGTGGAGTGAGTTGACCATTTTGAGGATAGTGCAGCGTTTGCGACTTTACCAGCAGAATGAGTTGTGTTGTCGCGCTCAGGAAAAGTACCCACGAAAACTTCTCAGAAGTAGCTTGTTCTCCTGAGTTAGCGTCTTCCATATCCAAACCTATTTCACGACAGCTTCACCACGTGACTGCCATTCATATCATAGCACTACTTAGATTCAAAATATGCACGCTCAGGCGTAGTGTAAGCGCACTGTCAATATGAGAAGAACGCCTCGCCACTCACTTCATGCTCCCGCTCACGGATCTCTTCTAGTTCCAACTCGAACTTCTTTTGTGTCTTCTTGAGGAGACTCCGAGCATCAGATATGTGTCGTTCTGCGTTCGACCTCATCGACTCCATTCTTGCGTTTTGTTCAACCAGCAAACTTTGTGCTATGCTCCTCATGCCTCGGACGCGTTGTTGTACACTGTCTGAGAAAGCAACCAGCAGTGACTTCCAATCCTGATTTCCCGCATGACCAAAGCAAGTGGAGTTCTGGACTGTTTGGTCCAAATCATCAAGTCTAAAAAGTGGAAATATCAGTATTTCTATTATTACTACTATTATTATTAGTAGTAGTATTGTCATTGTTGGCGCGATCAGTTGTTGTGTTGAGTGTACAATTCTATAATTGGACATGGCGTATTAGATAGCCGATGACATCAGTTGATGTACTCGATTCCGTTACTATTATATATGCGTGGTTTTGACGTATTATCTGTATTACCTGCATTACGTATGAAGGAATCGAGACAACAGTCTAAGGTATTCTATACCTTCTAGGCCACACAGTTGCTTGAATTTGAACAGCCAGGTTCACTATCCTAGCAAGAACTGATTTGCGAGTGGAGTGAGTTGACCATTTTGAGGATAGTGCAGCGTTTGCGACTGTACCAGCAGAACGAGTTGTGTTGTCGCGCTAAGGAAAAGTACCCACGAAAACTTCTCAGAAGTAGCTTGTTCTCCTGAGTTAGCGTCTTCCATATCCAAACCTATTTCACGACAGCTTCACCACGTGAACAGTCTCGCTGTGTTCCCGGGTCGATGCGGATTATACTCGAGATTCGGTTTTGAAGATCTAAATGGAAAGATCTTGTTGAAACGTGTTTTCGTGAATGAACGCGCAGAGGAAATTCGCGTATGTTTCCTTGAAGGAAAGTACCCACAAGTTCGCCAAAAATTCCTCAACAGCCCAAGAGGGTTTTGCTCACAGTGTAACTTGAATGTTACCCAAGACAGCGGCTTGCTGATTTTGATCAGACAGGCCTAAGCTACTTCAAATTTAGCCTATACTCGTCATTGTTATGAGTGACTCGTCGTGGTTCCGACATGCATCCCAGTGGTTGACACGCGATTCTTCGGAATGACTTGGGAAAGCCAGACATACCCGATTCTGTTAGAGAGACTTTGTTGTCCCAATAGATGAACTTGCCTTTCCAGTTTACAAACACAATCAAATGATAGCGGGAAAGGTCACAAGGGGAGATGTTAAACAAACGGAGAACTTTTTCTGCACTCTGCTATGAACCGGCACATGACTAATATCACGTAATCGCCTGGTTCTCTAGGTGACAAGAAACTAATCATGGAAACCCGACCCCACCAAAATCGATATTTTAGCTCGTACAGCATCAAGATCTAAGTACAAGTCGTTCACTTTACCTTGTAGATGTAGAATTGTCCTTACAAACCGGCTCTTCAGAAGATGACAGTTCCATCCTCAATGTAGAATCAAGATACTGGATAGCATCGTTTAGCAAGCCATCCCATGTGAACATGTTGTGCTGCAAGCAACGTTGAACGTCCGCATGAATCTCTCGTCTCTCGTGTTCAATTTGCTCGTCGAATGTGATCCGCAACTGGGCAAGTTTTTCTTCCAGCAATTTTCGCGCGTCCATAGCCTGCTCAAACTCCAGCATCGCGATTTTCTTGGAGTTAGGCATGGTGGACGGAAAAATAGACATTTGATAACAGTGAGGCCATTTCTGACAAACTCATGTCACATTCAAACGTTGCACTATTGGTTTACCTTCGAAAGAAGTATTCTAACATTTTCAGATGTGATATGCATCCTTCAAACGCTAGTTGGCGATTGAATGAAAACAGAAAGAACATCACGTCCCTTGGAATGTGCTGCCTACCACAGATCGAAATTGAAAGCCCACTTGATATGATCGACAAGGAAGGGTTCAGAGCTAGAAGTCATGATCACTACCAACACAAGTTCTTATCACAAATTGGCAGATATTATAACACCTTAGCGAATATACATTCATTTACAAACTAATTTGGTTTTTCGAGAGACCCACCTGGAACTCAGGTGAATCTCTCGTTTGTGATGTTCCCAGTAGTACGTTACAAATATATACAAGTATTGCTATCTTTCGAACATCGTAGCGACTGAAGCATAAGGAGGCCTGGTGGAGCACATTAAGTTGCCTGGAAACATCACAAACGAGAGATACAGCTCGGTTCCAGGTGAGTCTCTCGAAAAACCAAATTAGTTTGCAAATGAGTGTATATTCGCCAATTTCGTTCAATTTGGTTTCAAGTAGAACATAAGGTTACGCCTACCTGATGAGCCCCAAAAAGGGCGAAACCAGTCTGGGCTGTCGATGGATTTTCAGCAACCTTATGAGTAGTACAATACAATTATAACGCTTTTTTTTCATTATCTTGTGCAGTGACTTTAGGGCGTCCAACATGGTCTTGTATGGTTATTACACCTAAAGTCTTATAACATTGGTGAGAATTCAGAGAACTTTACAACATTTGAAGTATCTTAGGAGGAAAAAACCTCTGAGGCACTGCAATTTAGCCAAATTTGCCATCGTATAAATAAGGCCTCTTTCTGACTACACTATGCGGTTTGGTCTCTTGCGCGTGAAACTCCATGACCTGGTTAACACTAGGGTGATGCCTCAGTGTGCACTCACGTGATGCGTAGCCAACAGGACGCAAAAGTATTCGCAGCGAGTCTAACTGGTTCAATGTCTTCATCTGCTGCGATGATGGCAGTGCAGCTTGGAGTATCTTGGACCATACGGGCCTAGCGATAAAGCATGGACTATTCATTCTACGCCAGGGAACTCGTGATTGGTTGACGGAAAGAGCCAATGAAAACGAGAGACGGCTAGCGCCCACGCCGTATGGTTAGTCCGGTCATTCAGACGCCTGCTGCTCTCCCAGATGAGCGAGATATCGGATCGTACTGAGTGGTTACATATTNGACGTTCCAGCCTGTTCCAATTCGCGACGTAGTTTTGCTATTTCCTCCTCAGCAGCCTTTTTATACTCATCAAATTGCTAAAATGGAGAAGGGTAAATACCTGCAGTTAGCTACGGACATGATGAATGGGGTCGGACGGATGAAGGGTCAAATGCAGTTGTGAACAGTCCAATCCACGGTAATCCCGCTGAGGAGAGCACTCTTCTGGAAGTTCCAAAAAACACTGCTTACCGGCCGTGATTTACAATATTCCGCTAAATTGGGACTTCCCGGCATTTGGAGAAGGTTATGTAAGTGAAGCTTTCAAACAACTGGAGAGCAATATTATAGACTCTAGAGATACGGCTATACTCTTGCGGCGTTTCCGTAGTAGAACATGCGAGACGAACAGTCCAACAGTTTTTCACTAACGTAATCTCGAGTTGATTAGTGTTTTGTTTGGCTTAGTTTTTCGTATGAGAGAGCAGATCAGATTATACGTTCAATAAAATCCTACGTTTTCATAACCAAATGTCTTTCATCAAGGAACAGTAACGAAAAGCTGGGGGGCGAGATGGCCCAAGTGGTTCGGGGGCGAATTTACTGGCCGGAAGGTCCGTGGTTCGAACCCGACCTCTCCCTCTCGACTTCCCCTGTCTAGGATTGGGCAACCTAGCAGTATTCCAGCCCTCGTGCTTCCTTCAGGCGCCTAGCAGCTAGGCACCGAAAGGGTGCTACAGCTGAACGGTTATCGTTATCTGAAAGCTGATTATAAGAGCGAAGGGACCCAGACAAATGTTGGATCAATCATGCAACTAAGTGAGGATGGGTTATGAAACCATGCTGCTGAAATCGGTCCACTCTTTTGCCTGGAGGTGCCAGGCCTCCAACACTGGTGAACTCATGGATGGATTTGGTTGCTAGGCTTATCCAAACGGTCTAAACTTTGCGAATCACTCAATCAGGATGTACACGTGCTGTATATAACCCATACAGCAACAGAGGAGCGCGTTTAAAGACAACAAAACGCTCTTCGTTTAGGGCAAGTCGTACGAATGTACTGTTTGGTCTAATGCAAGGACAGCTGTTCATTCGTTCAACTGAGAGTTTGTCCTGTAGCTGAAGTCAGTCTTTTCAAAAATACCAAAGAGCATAGTACAGTTGCTTCATTCTTATTAGCAATCAGTAGTATGCTTCATGCGAAAATCCGAAAAGTTTCGAATCCGCGACCTCCCGGCTAGTCCTTTGATATCAAACCTTCCGGCCACAAACAACTGATCAGCAGTGCGAGTAAATCGCAGTTAGACAGGATATACCTTTACTTATCCGTCAGCATAGATTGGCTTCACCAAATGTCAACTGGAAAACTTCAAATCTCCTCACTTTACTGAAAATATCCGTTTTTTTGGCAGTATGAAAAGAAAAATCGAAGAATATATGGATTTTTCTGATCAGAAGTGCTACATTCTCAACTACGGTTAAGTTGGATGAGTAGTGTAAACAAGTATAAGTATCAGGATCATTCTTGACGAGTATTTCAACTATGAAATTTCGATTGCTCTTGTCCGGGCTTGAGCGAATTGGCAATATCTCTTCTCTTTGAGATGTATACCAGCTATGCCCTTTGTGTGTTTCGAAAAGTTTTAATGCCCAAAAATCTCGAAGTACCGTTCCAACGGTTGTGCTTGAGAACAGAGGCTTCTGCATTTCGGCTCCGGTCTGAACTGACAAAGTTTTTCCAAGTTTTTACCCTTTACATTCTTATGCCTGTCGCTCCCAACCGCACTACGGTGATTCACCTTCATGAGGACTACTTAAAAAGGAAAGTTCCTATTGAGAGAGAGAGACAGTGGGCCTTCCGGGAATGTGGTCACTTCCCAAGAGGGTCTCCCGGAATGAATTTGTGCTGGACGGATGCTGAGTTCTAGACTGAGTGGAAGGGATGGCGTATAAGACCTACAAGATCCCAGCATGTTCTGCATACGCGGATAGGCCGAGCTAGATTTTATTGCAGCGATGAAAATATTAGGAAAAACCAGCTCCGAACGTAACGGGACTACATAACAGCCAATGGAATAACCGTCTTCGTTGAGACAGATTTCATTGGTTGTTCTTTACTCGACCTTGAGAGATGAGTTGTATTCTTAGAATCACTTTGACCTCTTGTACGCGACAGAGATCAATAGAGCAGCTGGCTCGCATATTCAATGGCTTTTCTGGTTTGGCCAAGCGCACCAGGCGATCTAGCGGCCATCCAGACGGGGGTTCGGGGTGATAAGAAGGTATTAAGTAGACTGTGGTTCACAACAGAAAGAAAACTCAGTTTTCTGCACTCTGAGATTCTACCATCAGCTCAGATAGTCCAGTGTTTTCTGACTAAGTTAGACAGATTGGTAGGAATTAAATTTTTTAGGAGTATTTACCTTTGATAAGGTAGTACCTACACAGTTGATGAGAATCCCACTACAGTCCGCTAATGATCATGCATCTGATGGCGTCGTACAGAGGAGAAAAATCGATATTTTGAACACCATGCTAAGTGAATCAAGAGGCAACTTTTTTGCAATACCTTCGATCGAGCCTCATTTGAATGTCATGTGACGACCATGTTGGGCTGCAAACCAGTAAAGATATTATTACGTCATTATTGCTGAGGGTTATCAAGACGAGTATCGGAGGATAAGTTCAAGGCCAAACGAAAGCCAGACAGTTTTAAAAGCACAAAAATCTCGACAGGTAGTTTCTGTCTTTTTTGCTGTTCCGGTTCTAGTAATCTGTGACGTGATATGACAGGTTTTCCAAAACGGTGTTTTGCTCATCAGTAGAACGTTGATATTGTGAGTTCTAAGAATAGATAGTCTGGTGGATTGGAGGGCGATTGTCAGAGTTTTGTCAGTCAGGAAGCCAGCCTGGTTGCACACAATCCTATAAATGAGATGCAACCGCAGTTCATCGTCTTACCCTGACTATTGCGTTCGTTTCTTCTCTGGTCTTTTGCAGTTCAGCACGAACGCACGCTACCATATCGTTCGCTTCCGTTTGAACGTCATTCAGTCGTGCTTGCCACACGCTCACTTTTTGACGCTCCCAATCGGAAATCTCCTCGAGCACTGTGTCCAACATTTTCCCCATGAATGCTTCTTTGTGCTCTTCGGCTTTTTTGTCCTCAATCATTTGTTCCAGTTGCGCAATCCTCTCCATGTTGGCTCTGTTCTCGTGCGCGTTTTGCTAAAAATTATGCAAGAGAAACAGCGAAATATTTTTCTCAGGCTAGGGGGAGTTTTCAAACCTTAGATAGGACTACCCCATTGATAAGTCGACTTCCCTAGATCGATGAGAGAATGAAATCAACCATCCCACCAACATTTCTTTGTTTCTCCGTCGTTCCTTGGAGCTTAGGTGAGATTCCTCATCTTGATTTTGTTCAGGGATCGCGTTTTTTAAGTTTCAACTAGGTTGGGATGCTTCTAGCTGGTTTTGTTTTATCGTCACCAAGCATAATGTAACGTGAAGTGATCATGGGCGGCAGTACGTGTGGCTTAAGTCCTTTTAAAACCTTAACTTAAGTGCCCTCAATTCCTAATCCTTTGGATAGAAATCTTAGAGTGCCGTGTGGAGGCCGTAACAGCATGACCGTCCAACAAACGCGGTTAGAGTCACGGTTGATCTCGGTTTGAGATATAATCAATGTCGAAAAACGAGCTGTCACGTGTTAAGGGCAGCTGACCAGTCCTGAACATTTAAGAATCGATGGCTATGGCAAACATCAATTTTTTAAACCAGGGATTTCAAATTATGGAATCGGAGCCTGCTTCAGCGCTTCAAAGTACACCTATCACTGATGGGTTTGTTTACGTATTGTTATGACTGTGATGCGTATGCCCTGAAGACGGATACCAAAAGCTTCAGACGGTATTACAAAACTGACGCGTATAAGGTACACAAGCCCGCCAAAAAACAATAGGAAAACCAATCACATAACGGAAAATACAGACAGCCCCCTGGGGTGAAACTGACGTTGCGGTCCTATTGATTGGTTGATCGATGAGTGAACCAAAGCGGGCGTGCGCTACGTCAACTGCGTTTTGAAAAATGCACCGAAGTTAATGGGTCCAACCTAGGGAAAAAATACAGATCGATTCTTGTACGTGACCCGTTCTAACATGCACAGCTTCCATGAAATACCGCCATCTTATCACCGTCTACCTACGTAGTCAGTAAAAGGAAGGCCAAATGAACCGGTTTCTACCACGTAAAACAAGCATTTAATTGGATCCACCAGAAACCAGGAGACAATCGAGTGCAAACAAACCTCATGGTTAGGTGACCTTTGTTTAGAGACGGGCTTTGCGGGGGATGCCGTCATCCAAATCACTGCAGAACGTCTGGCAAACTGAAAGATGGTCCTAGTGACGAAATTTTTATCCAAAGGACTTCACCACGGATATTTGTTTTCAATATGTAACGATGCAACTTACATCCAGACTGTTTTGCAACTCGTCAATCTGTTTCGAATAGCTCGATTTGAGTTGATCCACGACTTGACTCTTTTCAGCCCGCATCTTTTCCACACATTCAGCCAGCGCCTGAGTGTGTTCATGTTGCAGTCGCGAAAGTTCATCTTCCTAAATAAGTGAACAAAATGAGCGTTCAGGGCCGGTTAGGAGTTAGGTTTGACTCGACTGTTAAACAAATTTGAGTTGGGACTAATTTTGATGACGTGGTTAAAATGTCAGTAGTTCACTGTTGAGAGGTATGTTTGATTTGCCTGACCGCTCGTGCACCAGCCTAGTAACTGCCCCGATTAACTGGCCCACCGGTAGGAATGACGCTGCCAGGTGGTGCAACAGAACCTCTTGAACTTATTCTATTGATTGTAGCTGGTCGTGGAATTTGTGGAATTCGAACGCATTTCCTCGTTTTTAACTAAAAAACGTCTCTTTCTGTACTGTATTATGTCCCCCGAATTTCCATTGAAAGTAGACTGTCGCGTCAAATGATTCCAACAGACGAAGGTTGGGTTGCGGCGAGGTCTCATTCCACACCCGTTCTTCGCAAGTGAAGCAAACAGGTTTCCCGCGCATTTCAGCTTCATACACGAACTCACTCGAGACAAAAATGACTGGGAATTTTGCGGAACTTGTTAGTCAGGATAACGCACCTAGTATCCAGAGGAAGTCAACAGAGAGCCGGAGGGTTGGTCACTGATTTGGGTTAGCCAGCGAATGTCGGACGGAAATGGAGATGTCGAAACAGCACAAACTACGTCAATATCTGACCAAGAAAAGTGACATGAGTGAGGAAAGTGACCAGTCAGTTGACTGACTACAGACGGGATAACCGCCATTCCGTTCCCCGATCTGTGCGTGTAAAGTGTGACGTCGTTTTTTGTTTTCAACATTCCAACCAAGCAACAGTTATTGGGCCTACCTGGTCACAAGGAACATGGAAAGTTACGTAACATCAGAGAAATTGAGTCTAAATGAGCACAGGATTACCAGATGGTCACCTGATGTTTCAAAGATCACACCTGAAGAATTCCATGGTTCATCAGAAGCATGTGGAAAAATTGGGCAATTAAAAACCTGATGAAGTCTCGAAAGTCGCCACATCTAGACACCAGACAACGTCCTCATCAGTTCTCAAGCTCTGACATGTTGTCCAGTGCTCCAGTAGATTGTAGATAAAAAGTCTATTTACATCTACAGACATAGTACTCTACTCATAAGGTTGCTGAAAAATGTTCGACAGCCCACTACCGGTTTCGCCCTTTTTGGAGCTCTGCAGCTAGGTGCAGTCCCCGAGCTCCCGGGGACTATTCATGTTCCATTTACTTTTACTCACTAAATGATGGTTTTTCAAAGATCTGCGTAAAAACAGACGCCCATTTGACGTCCTACGGAAATAATGGCAATATTCAGTTGGATTCCTCACTAGATATCGGCTTAGGAAAAGTGTATTTGGGGGCAGTATGATTACTCAGTGGGTGCAGCTCTTGTAAAGAGCCCTTAAAGAAAGTAGTTGGACGGAACTGGACAACATAACTCACGATGGACAACTAAATTGCGCGCCACTCAAAATGAAAAGTGCTGGTCAACGGTTCATCATCATCATCATTGTCAAAATAAAATCAGTGTTCAACACCGACGCTTCACTGCCATAATTGTTAGTGTCATGGTTGTACGTGGGCTTGGATACTGCCAGGGCGCTCATGCCTATACAGGAGGCCGATATGGGTCCTTAACCAAAGACTTTGGCTCAAAAGCCTAACCACAAGACAGTGGTGTTTGGCGTGAAGTGCAAATGCATTACCGTTTCTACGGAACAAGTCGCCACATGTTCCAACCCCCTAGCCGGGAGGACCAGGAGACTGTGTTCGTCAGACCTCTAACCATCGACCAACCTGGTACGAGAGACTCTGTGAGTATCACGGGGACACTCTCCAGTATAGCTCAATGGATCGCTGAGGTTCGCAAACCGTCACCCCACAGTAACGTCCAGTCTCTTCGTGACGGAGTAAACGGTTCACTGGCAATGAACTGAACAATACGAAAAGTGAGTAGGCCGCGGGGGACTGTTTAACTTGGGGTAAAATCAAATGAACCAAGAGCATTTTAGAAGACGGAGGAGTTGTCACGATTGGTAGCTCCCAAAGACCCCACAAAACAACACTCTACCCTTGAATTATTGAGAAATTCGTCCATTACTCAGCAAACGACTCGTTCGGCTTTCGACACAACAGCTGTGACCCGACTGAGAATAATGGGAAGAATGGCGATAAAAATAATAAAGAGTAGTCAATCAATTGGAAAATGTTTGGGACCGATTGGGTAGTCATCGTTTCAGAGAGAGCTAGTAAACAATCGGCGAATGTATTGCTGGGCGAAATTTCGCTTTTGACGGTTGAAATCGCCAAACATCTCAGTGTGAATAGAATAGAGTGCGTGCAACTGGCAAGCGTGTGGAGAGCGGCTATAGATAAGTCGAGATGACACGAGGCGGTGTACAGAGATCAGCTAAATGGTCTGGATCTAAAAGTACAAAATTCAAGCAGGGTATGATCCACTTAACCACCGTCCCAACTTCATTCCAATTGTTCCGGCACCGCTCGACGCGCACGCACCAAAAAATCTGTGAACGACCCCAAGAGGGATATTTCATCAAGGTGTCCTAGACCGGAAAAGCAAGGTCGCAAAATCCAGATTAAACGTGAAAACACCCCCCTCCCCTAACCAATCTGTGTTAGTCACCCTCACTAACGAACAAGCAGGAACATCAGACCGACACCCAGCATTGATCAAGTTGGCTAGCCAAAGGAATTCTCACGGATTGGTTCCCTGACTGTCTTAAAAGCTGATCAACCCGGTAACTTTCTCCCTTGGCCTTACGAAACTTTTGTTTCAAAAACCGAAACGTTGTCTACCAATAAATCCACCGACTGTTGACCAAGCCTCTCTGAAAAAAACTATATAGTTGTCTTTCGGTTGTAAGCCCTTTTGGTGCATAGCTGCCGCGCCACCCGAGGGGAGTACGAGGGCTGAGATGCTGCCAGGTCACCCAAGCGGAGCGGTGGGAACTGACGGATAAGTAATTTGCTCGTTAAGCACTGAGTAATTTCAAGCTTACCACAACAAGACTGTAATGGAATGTCAGCCTATTTGCGCCATATTCCATCGAGTGGTGCGTGTCGGGGTGAAAAATATCGATTGGAAACGGGATAATCACACATTCATAAGAACAGAATAAGCACTAAGATGACAAAATCAGCGTGGAAAATACTCTAACCATTATAACTGTTCGCGAGCCGAATGTAGTGATGAGTAGAAAGCGAACAACTGTTTATGGATGCGGTAACCGTTAAACATGCCTGTTCGGTGACTGCAAAGAAGGGCGAGACCGGTCGTGAGATGTCCAACAGTTTTCAGTAAATTTATGAGTAGCGTGCCCCCTTGATTTTTGTGTGATCTATGGAGCACGCTGTCCGGAGGCCAGCCGCCCTAATAACCGAACACGAAGCATGCCCTGATTGGGCAGAATGCCGGCCAATCCGAGTCGAGCATGTTTGACTGGAGGCTTCCCGCCCCCTCACGTAGATTCTGGCACAAGCTCGTTGAACACTCTGTGACTATCCTATAAGTACAGTTGTAATAATTTTCCTTTGTCTCCATAAAGCGCTGTCTAGAGCTACCGTACTTTTTGATATGCCATAGTGGGCGGAGCAGGAAGCCAAGAGACAGAGACAGGGTTGCACTACCGTACATCAAGTCACAACACACGCACTAGCAACTCCCAGGGAGCCATCGGATAAGCTTCAATTCAGTGTGTATAGCAGACTTACGTAATTGTCAGGATATTGGTGTTTCATAGTGTCACCTACCTTGCCATGTTATCCTCATCAACCAAAGTTCTGAATGCTCCTCAGAGTGCTTTATATTCCCATATATGTGAAGATGCCTTTCCAAGTAACTGGCCCACGGTTCCTAATAGGTGTAAACTCATCGTGTACGTCCAACTCAAGGATGGCTGATGAGCTTGAGTGCAGCAACGATCAGGTCAGGAACAAAATATACTTGGATCATACCTTAAAAGTTGCAGTTCGAACCTCTGGCACTAGATTTCATACATTATCTTGAGCTTATCGTCTGCACTACGGAGGCACATTCGACCCCCCCCACACACACACACACGCATGCCAAATACTGCTGTTATCCTCTCATACATTCAAGAGTTTTTATTCTCGAGGATCAACAAAGTACTTAAAAAGAAGGAGCATTCTCTCAAGAACGAAGCAGAGAAATTATGGAATTGCCTACCTTTTCGGCAAGTTCTTGACGTAGTTTTTTGTGGTCACGTTGAAATTGTCCCTGTACTCTTTCTCCTTCTCGCAATAGGGATGTATTGGCCTCCCTTGATGGGAAAAGGAACAAAAGGACTTTGTGAGCAAATAGCTAAACTAGAATGGCGTTGAAATTGTTCCTGTACTCTTTCTCCTTCTCGCAATAACGATGTATTGGTCTCTCTAAATGGAAAAAAGAACAAAAGGAGTTGGTGATCAAAAGGCTAAACTCTAATGAGTAGTCCGCTATGGAAACTGATGACATATTGTGAAAGCATTACCCAATTTCATGCCGGGTCGCCGCTATCAGGAACTCCATACAAGATGCCGAACAGGAAAACACAGAGCAGTGCAATGCCTCTTGGCATTTTTTTTAATTTAGCTCATATTTTCACCAACATCTGTCGTTCACTTTGGTAGAGTGGTGAGATTTCAGGGACTTCCACAACGCTTACCATTTCGAGTGACTTCTCTGTAAGTATCTTTATCAGTTGTGCACTGCTTACTAACCTTTCTTTCACAAATTTCTTCCTATTTTTCGCTGCGGAAGTTGTTTTGAACGCAAGCTTTCTGTGAGTCGCTGTCACGTGGTGATCCTATAACATACATACTGAAACATCAACAATAATCGACAAGCAGCAGTTTCCAACAAGGAACAATGATCTGCTTGGTCGCTTAGCTCATTGCTTGCTGGAAAAGCATTACATTGTCTCTCGTACTCAACACAGGTGCTCTTCTACAGAAGAACTGACAACTTCCACAAAACGCAACATAATGCCAGAAAGCAGTTTTCCTCAGGAGAGTCAGGTGACCATGAGCGAATGCAAAGCTCGGCTCTCGCAGTCAATGGTCACCCTACTCAGGGAACCGTCACACCGTGGCAGGTGGCAGGTCAACAAGTTGACTGTTTCAATATAATGTGACTCTGTGCCAGTGATCTATTACCTGTATCCTGCAAGGAATTTGGCACTGGGATGGCGATCAGAAGCAACGGTTCCTCCTAAACCGTGTTCCAAGTGTTTTTGGATATTTGCTCTTTCAATTTAGCTACTTGAGTGTAGTAAGTAGTGTATAATTAAACTCGCATATGTTCCGAGTTAACTGGCAATGACATCCCTCCAATTTTCCCACGCCAACTCCAGTGACGTGTTCTCCTAGACCTGTAAACTACCGCCGTCTTTCGAAAGACCTACGAATTCTGATTGGGTTATGGCATATTCACCGGCTAGTTATCAGTTGTTTACAAAAAAGCCACCGATCTTACGTAATGTGGCAAACGTTTCTTCTCCATGATGTTACACTGATTGTTGCGAAAGTATTTAGATGAAAAAGACGGCACTACGACAGAAACTTTCCATTTGGATGTTCTTACCTCCAACTACGGCGATTTTATGACAGTGGACGAGTGTGTTCCGGGTCAACTTTTATTCAGACTACGTTATTTGTGTCCATTATTGTGGAATTAATATTAGCCTACTCATAGTCTTCACATCAAAGCTTTACTCTCAGATCTCGAGAATTTACCTCCTCGCTTGTTCGCTTACTAACGAATAGCATATATTCAATCAGGTCAAAAACGATTGGAACAGACTGGGTAGTCATCGTTCTGGAAAGAGTTTGGTAGCAATCAGTAGATTTATGGCTAAGGCAACGTTTCACTTCGTCAGGCCAAGTGACTGGGTTACGAGATTGGTCGAGATTCAAGGCGAAAGGAGAACCAACCAGATAAGTTGAACCAAATCTCTGTTAGGTGTTGACCGAGGGGTTTCGAGTGTTAGGGTGATTGACCAAGTGTTTGGATGATGGGGAAACCTGCATGGATTTAGGTCCAGTCTAAAGTCTAGTTCTACTGGTGTAATGGTGATACTACTGATGGGAGTGGCACGCGAGTAGTATGTTTTCTTGTAAATTCGCTTGAAAAAGGAGATCTATTGTGGATGTGTGGAGTTGCTTTGTAGCGTTTGCTTGGACTTGAGCAACGCTCAATGAATATCCAGGAAAGTTCAGGAAGTCTCGTTCAAGAGAAGATTGATGTTCAGTTTTTGTAATAAAGATGCATATGAGAGTTTTGCCTTCCTGTCCAATAGTCTGTAAATGGTCAGTTGGAAATTTTCTAAACCTATCGATGGCAACCTAGTCACGTGGCCTGACGAAGCTTTTGTGTCAGACGCATAACGTTGCTCATCAATAAATCTACTGATTGTTACCAAACTCTCCTAAAAGGCGTGTACCTTACCGTACACATGGCATAACCAAATCATCAAATAGGGCGGTAAATCGGAGGTAAAAAACGACGTTTTTAGGTGAGATAAACTGTTTAACGTGTCTATGACTTCGATGTATAATAAAATATGACTGCATATAGGTGTATATGTGAAGGATGAAATGTTAAAGTGGAATAACCGGTAAAAAGAAGCTGAGAAACCAACTACTGACGCCATTAGCCGAAAGTTCGACCGTCAGCCCTAAATCCGTAGTGACAGAAGCTTCCTAACTGCACAGGACAAGCCCACTACTCTAAGCTCCGAAACAGACCAAAGTTCTCTCATGAAGGAGACTACTCATAAGGTTGCTGAGATCTCTTCGACAGCTCACGATCTGTTTCGCCCTCCTTGGGAATCATCAAGTAGGCGCAGTCCCCGAGTTCCCATCAACCTTATGTTCTATTTGAACCAAAAGTTTTTTCCATTTATACTGCTGGTAGCTTTGCCTTAGTTGCTTATTCTCGTGTTAACTAAAGCGATCACTTTGTTTTTGTTTAAATTCTTTATTCGAATGTTCTAACTAGTATAGTTTACTGACCTGGTGAGAAGTTAACGAAACCCTCAAGCCCTACGTGCAAGCCGCTGTTCGGTTGACTGCAACGTTTCCTCCAGCTCTTTCTCCCGTCTCATTCCTCTTTCCTCTCTTCTTTGGCCTTCTTCAACTAAACGACGCAGTTCCTCACTATGCTCTTGGGTTGCAACCTGACATCGATGCTCGTAGTCCTAACGCGGTGAGGAAAATTTTCAGTTAGTACTGAGATAAATTGGGGTTTTTCCAGCTTGTCTTAAGTTAGTTTTATTGAAACGGTGTTTTAGTGAATTACGATGAACTGATGAATAAAATATAAGTAGTGGACGCGAAATTAGAAAATTGACTTTTGATCACCAGTGGAGTCGATTTTTTCGTGCTGTGTTCCTAGCCTCTTTAAGCAAAGCAAACTGATGGAACATTTGCATAAATGAAAACAGTAGAGAAGTGGTACATAAGCTGAACAAGATGAAATTTCGACTCGTCTACCTTCAGCGTAGTACAGTACCCTTCCCCTTAAGGGAGCACTCTGTTGGAAGGCGAGGGTGTTTCATCGACATGAGGGTTTTGGGATGAGGAAACGAATCACCCGTCTCTTTTACTTTTGAAATTACCTGAGAAAAATTCAGTTAGCTCTAGAAGTTCAAAATACCTCCAGCCTTTTGGTTCCCTTGTAAGTGGTCTTCGACTTTTCACCCACCCCCAGGCATTCGCATTACCTAAGCTCGACTTGCGCCAGTCAAGCAAGCAATATTCACCCATTGATGATGTCACCTCTGTCGGTGGCAAGAGATTTACGAGCTAACTGCCGAGCTCGGTCGGTCACCTGATCAAGGAACAATGAATGAACCAGTACTAAAGAGAATTCCGACCTTTTTAACTTGCTTCATTTCACACAAATAACTCCACTATCCCAGTCAATGTGGGCGATATCATCATCAACATCATGTTTTGAAGTAACGAGCCATATGTCTTGTTTCAGTTGCTGTGCAGGGTAGATCTCACGCGACATAACCATACCGCTGCTTGGTACACCTCAATACACCAATGCCAATCTGTTACCGCCTTGATTATCAGTTCGGCAGCATCTGCATGATTCCACAGTCCATTGCCATCAAACATCGTCGATCGTCGTCACGGTTACACAAAACTCCGCACTATCTTGTATATGATATATTAATGTTAGAAAGATATCGATATCACAGACAACTGAAGCTTGAGTATCGATTTGCGCCGTCGTGACCACAGCGGTGGTTCAGCTAACTCCAAAAGCACCATTGTTCCCGCACTGAGCAAAAAAAAACTACAATACAATAACTTCGAAAGCACCTTGTGTTTTTCCTCCCCGTCAATCATACTGAAATTTAATCCCGTTTTGTTTACATCACCAGAATGCAGAGTTGACTAGAATCAAGTTGTGTGACGCAACAGACGTGATCACACATATTTGTGAAAGGAAGAAGGCCTTCGCCTCGGAATTCTTTATTAGAAAATGCCAACTGACCGGTTACAGACCATTGGACAGGGAAGCAAAACTCCCATTTGCATAGTATTTACAAAAACTAGACATCCATCATCTGAACGCGTCTTCTTGAACTTTCCTGGATATTCATTGACTCCAATCATTCATTACTCAAATTCAAACAAATGTTACGAAGCGAATCCTCAGATTCCGCAACAGATCTCCCCTTTTCAAGAGACGCAAAGCGAAATTCCAAGAACAACACATACTACTCGCATGCCTCTCCATCAGTAGTATCACCTTTACATTTGCAGCAATCAGCGAACGGAGGATAGAGAGTTACAGGGTTTGAATGCTCCATCTTGATCAACCTGGTGCGCTATTAGCTAGACGAAGGGGACGACACATTTCTTGGTGCAGGTGAACTGATGGTTGATGGTACCTGATTATTATGGGCCGATTGCAACTCCATTGACGTTGTGATGCATTCTTTTTGTGAGCACATCGATCATTTTGAGGACCAGAAAGTGTCTTTTCATCAGTTTTGAGGCTTATAGGGAGAAAAAAAGCAGTGCGACAGGATTCTGTCCCGCGGAAATCCTCACTTTGATAGAGGTGGCCACTCCTTCGTGGTTCCCTTAATGAGGCTAGTCAAGAGTTGGAAGAACATTCAAAGGTGCACTCGTTGCATGCTTTGGCATTATGTCTGGTTTTCGGAGTCACTTACCAAGTTGTCGGTGTTCAACGTACAACGAGCTCGTTCCATTTCCTTTCAAAAATTCTCCCAGATGGAAAAGGGTTTTCATCCTGGCACAAACAGTCTCCTGTGTTGTATTGTTCAAGGGGTTGAGCACCTTGCGTAATCATTGGTACGAATCGTTGTGGGTAGGTTGTCTCAACAATTTTGTTCAACACAGAGTTCGTTCGAGAGTCAGGTTCCTAGTACTTTTAGCCACGTGGTCTTCTGCTGTCTTGTTGCATCGAGGCCAGTTCCATATTGGGTTGTATATGGGTCCGAATTCCTGACAGCCCAAAAGTAGATGCACCTGCATCCCTACTGAGCTTAATTTGCGACGTCTTTGTGTGATTTCCTGTACTAATGATTCATAATCAGCTACCCTTGTGTGGATGTGCAAAAGTGGTCTTGTCTGTTCGTTTCTGAAACGTATCTTGTGCTTTTCCATTCCGTTTGACAATGGCTTCATTTTGACCTCCAGATCTACTGAGTGGAAAGTGCCGAGGGGTTCGACGGAAGTCGGTCGCGGACAATTAATCAACTTTTTCGGTCCATGAACACGCGCTGGACGGTGATTTATGTGCGAAGTGGACAGTACCCATCCGTCATAGCTCATTTGGTAGGGTACGCCTTCGTTATGTTGAAACTCGACGGTTTAAGTCCATCTTCAAGTGTATGTTTCGGTGTACGTGAATTTTTAACCTTGAAGGCTACGTGAGATGGTATCTCAGAATCGGCTTCCGACATCCTGTGCAATACAGAACTGTGTAGGTCGTGCGCTCTAGAGCCACTCACCTTACACACACAGCCAATCAATATGTTGGGGGATTCACAGGTCCATCTGAGGGCAAACAATACTGTCTTACCTGTAAGGAAACACTTTCCGCAAACTAAAATGGAGTTTACATATAGCCTAAACAACCAGCTGATATCGTGTGAGTTAAACACGTATTTGGATGTAGATGTCACAGGAACTGGACGGTGAAATGACGTTTCCACCATTATGTAAACGAACACACCCATTCAGACGAACGCCAGACTAAAAGTTCAACCATTTTCTGTGATTCTAATCTGTCATGTTGAGCGGATTTTTGTTATTCACGATATTTTCACTAGGTCAATGAAATAATACTAAATTAATTGTTCAACAGTAACATCCAGTACCAGGCTAACCAAAGGAGGCACGATAGATGAAAATCTACCAGTGTAACAATGGATACTACTGATGAGACATGCAAGTAGCGTCTTCTCGTAAATCGGCTTCGCGAATCTTGAAAAGTGGGATCTATAACGGAATTTGGGGATTCGCTTTGTAGCATCTGCTTGCATTTGAGTAGCAGTTAATGAATATCCAGGAAAAATCAGGAAGACGCGTTCAAGGAGAAGGTTATATCTAGTTTTTGTAAACAAGATGCATATGAGCGTTTTGCTTCGCTGTCCAATAGTCCGTAACTGTCCAGTTGATGTTTCTCTAATAAACAAATCCGCAGCAACTGCCCTCAAATTTGACCCGGCTTAATAGGATCGATCGAGATGGCGGGATTATGTTCGAACCACTGTCCCTCCGGAGCGATCACGTGCTCGATTAGATCAATAACTGATAGGAGAACAGTCCCAGTGAGTTGCCCTAGTTCATCTCATGCCTTAAGTCATTTCAAACGTTTCTACTCTGATTTTCGAGTTCCTTTGGCTTTGCTCACAAGAATACGCTCAAGACATTCACGAGTAAAGGAATCTAAAAAGGTATGACTGTACTGTGTGACTGGCTGTACTGTGGTTATTGCAATCACTTTGGTTACCACAGCGATTTAGGACAGGGAACGCCTGTTCTGAACTGTTCATCTATCGTCCATTCCGTTGGGAATTTCGACGCTCTTCTAGGCGAGAGTACAACATTCAAAAATTTGAGGTTACCGATTCATGGGGTATCCACGGGCTAAACAAAGTTGTCTTTCTGTGAAGTACAAACCCTCAAACGAGATCGACTGTCCTTTGTGCGATGAATTTACGACTCCGTGCCATAATCTACCAACTTTCTCAGAAGAAAAGAAAACAGAAATTCATCAGATCTGCCTGATGGCATGAAGCTTGGTGCTGTGAAGTCCCTGAATTTTCTTGTGTCAAGTCCTGTTGACCGCTGTTGGAAGGCGCACTACATCGAGCAATTCTTTCACGTACTTTGCCCGATTTATGTCCGTCACATGGAGACTGGACTTTGATCTAACAAGACAGTTTGTGTGCCCCATGATCCAATGAAATTCATGGGGTATCCCCATTCGACATATCAGGTTTTTCAATGGTTAGAGTGTGACCAACATCGACTCCTGGTCCTCTACGGTTGGGACATATGTGGTGATCTGTTCCTTAAAAACGCCAATCCACATGCATTTTCCACCAAACAGGCTGCCTTGCGGTCAGGTGTTTGAGTCAAACACTTCGGTCGAGATCTAATCCTGGACGCTATGACAGTTTCCCAGCCCACGTACACCCATGATACCTGATATCTACCATGATGGATAACCAAAGACAAGTCGCCTGCGCACCCGATATTCCCTTTTCCCTCGAATCTTGGTGCCCTTGAGAACGATTAGATTGAAGTAAACGTGAACGTACTCGATAGAGCAGGTGTTGATTCATACCTGACTTTGAGTGCTGGGCAAAACGCTTACTGGACAACAGTGAAAAGTACTCATTAAATACACTCATTTGCATATTTCTTCGGTTCTCAAGGGGGACTCAGATGAATCTCTCGTTCATGAGTCTCCCATGAGAACCAAATCGATAGTGAAATCTGCCCAATCTGGGCTCAATTAGAACATGAGTATGACGGAAACTCGGAGACTGTGTCTACCTGATGAGCCCCAAGAAGGACGAAACCGGTCGTGGGCTGTCGAAGAGTTTTCAGCAACCTTGTGAGTAGTTTTGTTTATGAAAGTGTACTGTGATATCTCGAATTTCGTGACAACTGAAACATGAGGCAGCCTGTGTGCAACACATTCAGTTGTAGAACATCATAAACGAGGGGCTTAGTCGTGGAAACCAAATTGATTTGTAAATGAGTATATTTTTCGAAAACAGTCCAATTTGGGTTCAAGTAGAACATAAGGTTGACGGAAACTCGGGGATTGCGCCTAACTGATGAGCCCGAAGTGGAAGGCAGAAACCGCTCGTGGGCTGTCGAAGAGTTATCAGCAACCTTGTGAGTAGTTTCGTTGATGAAAAGTCCTGGTAATGATGGCATCACCGAAGATCATCTGAGCAGTGCAACCACTTGTTAATGAAATCATATAAATGCCGAGGCCTTTTTGCAGCCATCAAATGACACACTGAATTGTGCAAGTAGCTTTCTGTCAAAATATTTTTTCACAGGATTTGACAAATATTCGTAATGGAATGTTTCATTTATTAGGATGTACAGAGTGTCTCCAGAACCCTCGAGGCAACGACCCAATCTTGTTCTGGCGACTGGAGATGTCTGAAATCCTACGCGAAAAGATGACGCCTGTCGGTGAGTGGTAGAACATCCTTCTTCTCAGGAATAAACCTTACAAGTACCAAGCAAAGAGCCTTGGTTCTAGCCGGTTGTGAGTAATAGCGTTGGAGTGTGATCTCAGAATGCATAACGCCTCGCAACCTTCTGTCTATGGACACCAATGTCTACTCAGAAAAATCCCAAAAGAGAAAGACTGCCTTGTTAATTTTGGATAGGATGCTACTTTCACTATAAAGAGTACTATTTTACGGTGCTTTGAGCAATTCTCCAAAATTTCATTTTATTAAACGAAGTGTCTTTTTTGAGTACACCGGAAGGTTGTAGGAAACGGGACCTGTTCAGTGGATCCGATAGCATGACGGCTAAGAAAATGATATCAAACATGCAAATTAGTGCGAGATAAAACAGCGAATACCTGTTGAGGAACATAGTAGTATAGGAGTCTCGTATATGTATGTATAAGTCTTAGTATAGTATAATATATATATATATATATCAATATATTAGTAGTAGTATGGTATAGTATACGTATAAGAATATAGTATAAATCTCTTTCTTTGGGAAAATCATCTTTGTTTGGTTCCATTCATTAGTTGCTCCAAACTCTTAATGGATACTAGTTTAATTCGGTCAGTTAAAAGGGTCTTTCTGGGTGCTAGCTAGAAAACTGACGCTTTCTGATTGGTGACTTTTTCTAGGAGTGATCCGTTAAAAGAAAGACCAATGGAGTCAACTACTCTTGAGTTTGCTGAAAACGCCTCGGCAACTGATGATCGCTTTCGTCTTTCTTGCGGCTCATCAGGTAGGCATAGTCCCCGATTTTCCGTAAAACTTATGTTCCACTTGGATAAGTGTACTTCAGAGTGTGCTAAACTACTGACCAGCATCTCTTGGTATCTAATATCAAGAGATAATCCATCGGGTTCACGATTCGTTAGGTAATTCAAAAACTCACCCTTTCCAACTGTTTCAATTGTTTTTCGTGGCGTTGTATGCTGGCGTCGAGTTGGTGCTGCAATTCATCTTGGTTGTTTCGTAGCTCATCCATTTGTCGCGTCCATCGATTTCGTTCATTCGAAAGCTTATTGATTTCGCACAAGCTAACCTCGAGTTCCTTGGGAGAAGAAGTGGGATTACTCAGATACAGGCAGTTCCTACCAGAAGACACAAGTCCGGTCCCCATAGGGGCCCGCTCAACTGCTAACTCACCAATCGACGAGTGATCATGAAAGCTTAGAAAGAAGAATGAGATATTATAATGATCAGTATTCAACCCAAAGCCGATTCTGGATGATTCCCTTGAAAGCAAAATCTAGCATTTTTCCCTCTCGAACTCCAGAAATGAGTTCGGATTGTCTTCATAGATAAAGTTTCCCAATGACCTTCAAGAAATGAGTCTGAAATCAATTCGAACGTGCCCGGATGGATATACCCCGGGTTGTGGGAGACCAGGGCCGAGTTTTTTCACAAAAGTAACCGTTCACGATCTTCGGGGCATGCGACTGCAGTTTTACTACCTTAGTTCTTATTCTACCCGCAACGAATTCGTCAGATCCCCAAACATGCATCATAGGATCGCAAACTATGCCATCCTTGACCCACAACGTTTATAAAAAATTAGGTTATCGGTGTCTAATCACTCTGAGAACTCATTTGTTTCAAATCAGCCAAAAATTAGGCGGGCACTGAACAGGAGCTGATGACCTTGGAAAAACCGGAAAGCTGGACATACCAATTCGGTTTTGATAGAGGACTCGCCTGAAATTCCGGCTAACTCTCTCGTTTACAATTTTATTCTTCAAGTGAATGCTCTGCTCTAGGCTTCTTCATGCTCCAGTGGGTATGATATTCTAGATATGGCAATTCATAGTAAAGGCGTAGCATGCTACTCATAAGTCTTCAGTAGCTTTGGCCAACCTTCTTTCCTGAAAAACCTGACCTGCTAGCTTGCTAGCTGAGATATGGAAAAGAATGTGAAATCAACTCTCATCAAAGCCTAGTTGACCTCTGGTAGCGAACAGCTCTGAACGATATTCTCGAATGATACAAAGTGTTGGGGTAAAATGTGCCCCGGGGAAAGCAGGAAATTGTTCTGGCGGAAAAGAAAACGTAAATTGGATATACTCCTTAAATCTGCTTCAAATATATTAGTTATTAGTGAATAAAACAGCCATTGTATATTGCAACACGTTTCGTCTTTTTGCCACACGAGATGCCCTCTCAGCCCTTCAAATATCATCAGTTTCCGAATTATCCGAACTTTTAAAAATGTCATATCAAGTTCATCTACAAAGTGCTCAGAAAGACAGGAGAACTTCGGCTGGAATGAAGTCGAGCTGCTTGAGGCTTTATGCCCATCAGCTTTAGAGAAATTCCATCATTCGTTTTCCTAGCATAAGTGAACAAACACGTTAGGAAAAATCACGTTCTTGCTGTACGAACCAGAGAGCTCCCAGTATTGTTTAATGTCCAAACCAGCAACGTATTGCTCCACGACGGTTCCCTGGAAGTGCAGTCTGTCCTGAAACACAAACTTACATCAGTATAGTTCACTTCAGACGTCAGAAGATCGCCCTTATTCAGACTAATCAGTAAAGCGAATCTTACGAAGTGGAAGATTAAGCAACGAAAAGTGATCGGAACTAAATTGAAACTCCTCCAACCCATCAATCAATTCAGGATTTTGGCAACCGCAACCGAAAGAGCCGTTAACTGACACTCAACACTGATCTAGTGTGAAGGGGACTTACTGATTACTGGTTCCCCATCTGTCTTATAACCCGGCCAATTTGGTAACCTGTTCATTTGGCCTGATGGAGTTTTTCTATCGAAAGCGAAACGTTGCCCAAATGAAAACTACCGATTGTTTACCAAGCTCTTCTGAAACAAATCTTACGAAATTTCACTATGAATTTTTGAATCCACGACCCCCTAGCTGCTAGTCTGAATAGTTAGCCCGCTGATTAGCAATGTGACTGACTCCTACTCAAACATGATACAGTGGCATTCGTCCTTCAATCACAGGTCACACATCACGTGGTCGCATGTTCTGACTGGCTCATCTAGTGATGACTGCTCAGTCGGAAGTTTCGGGATAGAAATAATTCCTCTTGTGTGTACGAGTCATTGGTAGGATGGGAAGGCTTGGTAATTTAATTGAAATTTCGTCCTGTAAGTGAAATCAACCAATGGTAAAAAGTCGAGGAGAGCTGCAGGGCTGTTTCACCCCTATTGTGGATCATTTCGAATACATGACCTCCCGGCTAATAGTTTGATCAGGAGCGGCTGTTCGATCCCTTCTATGTTTTATGAAACTTGGAGAATAGTTTTAGTCCTAATCTTGTGGTTCTTTCGGTGTTTGGCAAAATGCGGTAAGCTCATCGAAGTTCTTCTGTTTGAAAACAGTTTAGCGAGGGCAAAATTTGCAAAGCAATAGGGGGATTTTAACTGACTGCATTTACGCCACACCCACTGCACTATCCATGGACGTATGACTCTCTCCAGACTCAAAGTTTCATTGGGAATACGTCGATCTTTGTCAGTAAGTAGGAAGCCTACTGCCACTCTTATGCTTGCTTCAAACAAACGCTGTGATTCTACTTTTTTCCCCATCAACCATCGGCCAGTGTGGTTCATATACCACGGAAAGTGCACCTCATGGGTGGAGGTAGCTGCCCTTAGTTTGATCACTAACCTTTGTTTTAACGTCATCGTTTCTAGAATTTCGCCGCTGAAGGGAATATTGATTAGTGAATATACACTCATCTACAAAATAACTTGGTTCTTTCGACAGACTCACCTGAAACCCAGCTGGATCTCTCGTTTATGATGTTCTCAGGCAATTGAATGTGCTGCACCAGGCCGCCTCATGTTTCAGTCGCTACGATATTTGAAATATCGCGATAAATGTATATTTGTAGTACATTACAAGAATATTGATTGTTCATATTGTGGTAACGGCCATCACGAGCGGAGCGTCTCATCATCAGTCGAGATGACGTCATCAGTGCGTTGAGGTTGAAGGGGTCCAATTGAAAGAAAGTCCAACCTCCACGCATCTTCACTGGCAACGTACTGATGAGCTCACCCCGACTAGCGATGAGATATTTAGAAATTTCAGTATATCGCGCTACAGTTCGCATAGTTTGAGTAGACCAAGCGGCAGATAAGTTCGGCTAAAGATGGGGTCGTAATCAGTGGACGTAGAGTTGCTTCATTTAGGCTAGAAACTTTTCTACAGCCGTTTCAGTGTAAAAAAGTTCCATTAAGGGTTGCAACATAACTTGGTCGCCAAAAGCTTCAAATTTTATTGTTCCGATGACTAAGAAGCTTATGGTTTAAGTTGCAAGGAGACGACACCTGTCATCCGTGTGAATTGTTACAAGAGAGAAAAAACCAAACCCAATGTATTCTCTGCAGCTGACTGTTTTGGATTCACATATCAGGTCCTGACAAAAATCACTCCATACTTCAAACGCTCATAGAACAGTCAAAACTTACTTCTTCAAGTGCGTTTATACGTTGTCTGAGTCTTTGACGCTCAGCGACCGATTCCTGCTTGGCCGCCGCCAACGACTTTTCCTTTGCATATCTGACGCTCTCTTCCTCTTCATTCAGTCGCAAGATTTCGTATAATTCGTCACGTTCTGCAATCAGTTGTTCAACCTATGGATCAACGGTTAGAAACGATAGAATGAGTGTTTGTATAAAAATACGAATTGGGAACTTATTTCGACAGTTGACCGGCTAACTTTGTCACCCTAGTTATCACCTAACCGTATAAAAAAGGAGATGGTTGATTGTGGTACAGAGTAACCTGTTGAGACTTAAGAAGTATCTTGGTGGAAGTACACTCATCTTGACGTCTGTTCCCTATGTATCAAGCAATAGCTGCCTGACATCTCTTATCCACCTTCGTCTAATTCATGCTACATTTCTAACGAATAACCAAGAAGGGATACACTCATTTGCAAATCAATTTGGTTGGTTCAAGAGACTCGACTGAATCTCTCGTTTATGATATTCTACAACTGAATGTGCTGCACACAGGCCGCCTCATGATTCAGTTGGCACGATGTTCGAGATGCCGCAGTATAATTTCATGAAGGAAACTACTCGTAAGGTTGCTGATTTCAAACTCGATTTGCAAATGAGTGTATTTCTCGAAAAGAGTCCAATTTGGATCCAAGTAGAACATAAGGTTGACGGAAACTCGGGAAGGGCGAAACCGATCGTAGGCTATCGAAGAGTTTTCAGCAACCTCGTGAGTAGTTTCCTTGGTGAAAATCACCAAGGACTTTTGGAAATTTCACCAACTGTCATGGAGTGACACACAATTCCACTCCAACACCTGGTGACTTCACGTCCCACCTCTTTGTCTAAACTGAGTACCGGCAAACGTACCCGGATTCTGTTTGATGCTATGGCGTGTAACAATAACACGGTTCAAAAATACGAATTTTACTAGCTTTTATCCGTTTTACGGTTGTAAAGTAAAAAGGAAACGAACACGTGTTCTGTACCTGGTCCAGAATAAGGCAGAAGGAACAATTTAGATAGATAGATAGATAGATAGATAGATAGATAGATAGATAGATAGATAGATAGATAGATAGATAGATAGATAGATAGATAGATAGATAGATAGATAGATAGATAGATAGATAGATAGATAGATAGATAGATAGATAGATAGATAGATAGATAGATAGATAGATAGATAGATAGATAGATAGATAGATAGATAGATAGATAGATAGATAGATAGATAGATAGATAGATAGATAGATAGATAGATAGATAGATAGATAGATAGATAGATAGATAGATAGATAGATAGATAGATAGATAGATAGATAGATAGATAGATAGATAGATAGATAGATAGATAGATAGATAGATAGATAGATAGATAGATAGATAGATAGATAGATAGATAGATAGATAGATAGATAGATAGATAGATAGATAGATAGATAGATAGATAGATAGATAGATAGATAGATAGATAGATAGATAGATAGATAGATAGATAGATAGATAGATAGATAGATAGATAGATAGATAGATAGATAGATAGATAGATAGATAGATAGATAGATAGATAGATAGATAGATAGATAGATAGATAGATAGATAGATAGATAGATAGATAGATAGATAGATAGATAGATAGATAGATAGATAGATAGATAGATAGATAGATAGATAGATAGATAGATAGATAGATAGATAGATAGATAGATAGATAGATAGATAGATAGATAGATAGATAGATAGATAGATAGATAGATAGATAGATAGATAGATAGATAGATAGATAGATAGATAGATAGATAGATAGATAGATAGATAGATAGATAGATAGATAGATAGATAGATAGATAGATAGATAGATAGATAGATAGATAGATAGATAGATAGATAGATAGATAGATAGATAGATAGATAGATAGATAGATAGATAGATAGATAGATAGATAGATAGATAGATAGATAGATAGATAGATAGATAGATAGATAGATAGATAGATAGATAGATAGATAGATAGATAGATAGATAGATAGATAGATAGATAGATAGATAGATAGATAGATAGATAGATAGATAGATAGATAGATAGATAGATAGATAGATAGATAGATAGATAGATAGATAGATAGATAGATAGATAGATAGATAGATAGATAGATAGATAGATAGATAGATAGATAGATAGATAGATAGATAGATAGATAGATAGATAGATAGATAGATAGATAGATAGATAGATAGATGGATGGAGGGATTTGCTCTACTCTGAAGGGACCATGTTTAAGGCGCAACGAAGAATGAGAGTCAGTTCAACAGTTAGTCTTCGTTGAGGTGAGAAAGTATAAAGTGAACGAATAAATAAATAAGTGGAAAATAAAATTGTGACACTCTGTAGTTAAATGTCCGGATGTCTATATAGCAATTCTAAGTAAACGTCGAACGCAGAAATTCATAGTTCGTCCATTCATTGGGTCATATCACAATGAATCGTTTCAGCTGACTTAGCAACGCACAGATATGAGAAGGCGATAGCGGTAACCACAACAAGAAAACGCCAAACATCATACGGACCGACTGGTTTAATATGGGACAGTCAGCCGGCGCAGTGACAAAATGCTTTGTTTACGTTATTCAATCAACAGTGGTTTCATGCGGGGATGTCCTCTGTCACCCTTCCTCTTTGCTTTCATAATCGATAAGTTCCTTGAATCCAGTCCAATTTGGGTTCGAGTAGAACATAAGGTTGACGGAAACTAGGGGACTGCGCCTACCTGATGAGCCCGAAGTGGAAGGGAGAAACCGGTCGTGGGCTGTCGAAAAGTTTTCAGCAACCTTGTGAATAGTTTCCTCGTTTACCGGTTTACCACCTATAAAAATGCGGGCATCAAAACTGTCCCCGGGTATTGGCTCACGCACAATGAGTACATCGATGATATGGTTCTCCCTGAATCAGACCCTTTGTAAGTGCAAACTCTTCTTAATCGCCCGGATATTTCCGCTGCACATTTCGGTATGCCCTTCACACTTGTAAATTTTAAAGAATTACTGTAAGATTCGGTTGGATCATACTCAAATTTCATGCCCTTATGTGGAATGGTCGCCTAACTGAGCAACTGCATAGGTCCTGAATGAAGGGTGGAAGACGAAAATATTTCCTGCATTGGGAAGACCAGAGCAGCGTTTTCCAACATCTGAAATTTTTAGAGTGACGTGAGATCACCTTGGCCACTGGTTGCGAAAGATCTCTGCAGACTCTGAGTGTTTGGCCATCGTCATCCTAGAAAAATCGTGTGGGCCAAGCGGAAACATCAATGATGCCGACGTACGCCCGGTAGTTTTTCTGGAATGTTCGCTCTCCCCTTATAGGTAGATCAGTTGGTCACAGTCCGTGGGTACGCTAGTTAGGGGACCGCTTTCGTCGTAGAGCCCTATTCACCCCATCCCTGTTCGAATGGAGACAATCGAGACCCGGTCAGACCGTGACTTGACAACGAAGTATGAAAGTCCTTACCAGTTGCTTTATTTCAATAAAAAAAAGAAAGGTTACTCTCGGGTCTATCGATTTGAGTACCTGAAGTTGGAGGGTTAGTGAAATATAAGCTTTCGAAAAAGTTTGGTGACAATCGATAGACTTATTGCTGGGCAACGTTGCGGTTTTGACACAAAAGCTTCGTCAGGCCAAGTGACTAGGTCCCGAGGTTGGTCGAGATTTAAGGCGGAAAGAGAACCAATCAGCTAAGTCAAGCTAAATCTCTGTTGGGTGTCGGCCGAGGGGCTTTAGTGTGTCAGAGTGGTTGAACAAGTGTTGGGTCGGTGGGGAAACCTACACGTGTTTGGGTCCAGCCTAGGGTCTAGTTCTTCAGGTTCGGTTCATTTGATGGTTCTTCTCGAACTTCGTTTGAACCTTCTGTCAGTCTCTGTGGGTGGGCTAGTGCTAAGATAGTTGTGTATGGGGGATACTGTGACCTTTGGTCGGGTTGGGATTTCCACTCCCACCCCCCGGTTTTTTCGAATGATCCCAGGTGGATTGACAACCACACCGTCACGTGTTAACTCGGTTTATCTAAGACCGCTTTCCATACGCTCGACAGCTGCACACCCTCGATTCTATTCACGCCTTGGCTATCGGCCACTGTGGTGTGAATCTCAGTCCCCGTCTACCGATTGTCACCAAACTTTTTTCGAAAACGATGACTACCCAATCGGTTCCAATTATTTTTCACGTGATTGAAATATAAGCTTGTTTACAGATGGTAGGCTGTGTACTTTTCCCAGCTTAGTGAACTTACTACTTTGGATTTCCAGAGGACTGGGAAACAGATCTCTCTCGGCGAACACTCGGAAATGGCGAGGCATGATGTGGACAAAAAATATATGTAAAGACTGATGACTGGGGAACTGAGAACCACCGAGCGTTCCAACTTGGGTGAAAAGAAGGGCATAGGGCTGACAAGCAAGTGGAGAGCGGTTTTACGTCAACCGCGTTGGTATGTGGTGGTTTACAATTGTGAGTGGGCATGACTCTGCCGTACAAGTCATCTGGGTCCCGACAACACAGCTAACGCAGTGTGAGATCTAGTGAATCGATCCAGTTATCCCAATATTTACTGACAGAGCACACAGACGGAGAACAAATACGAAGAATGATCAAAAGAAACAGTCCAGCAATCACAAATATTAGTCATTCAGATCGGACAGGGAAAAACTTTTGATTAACATTAAGCACTGACTGAGTCTGGAAGAATAGATCTCACTGATTGGTTCACAGCCTGTCCTAAAACTGGGTCAGTGTGCTGACCAATTCACGTGGCCTGGCACAACCTTGTCTAGCAGTAAATTCACCGATTGTTTACTAAAGAATTGTAAAAGGATAACTCCTCTATTTGTTTTAAATAAGTCACATAAACAAAGTGACTTCAGACAACCTCACTAAAGACGTGTATGTATTTTAAATTAGTGAATGAACACCGGGGTTTCTGCAATAGCCGCAGTGAGCATGAACAGGCCCCACTCAGTGCAAACAGAGCTGACTCACTTTCGGGATCATCAGCGATACAGAACTACAGTTTGATCAATCCCACGGACTGTTGAAAATTCTATCTCCCCAAAACTAATCAGATCACACTGCTTCAACTAGTGCAATCCTATGCCTGAGCTCTCTATTCTTGAAACCTATACATTTTCACCAGAATCTTGACCTCGGCACCTTTAAAAAAACAATCCAATAACAGAAAACTAACATAGTTGACATAGTTAAACCGAAATGTCTCGACTTACTTCTTCCTGAGTTAGTTTGAAAGAGCTGGCTTTTGCGAACAAAGTTGGCACGGGAAGTCTCTTTGAAGTGGCTTTGGATTTCCAGAGGACTGGGAAACAGATCTCTCTCGGCGAACACTCGGAAATGGCGAGGCATGATGTGGACAAAAAATATATGTAAAGACTGATGACTGGGGAACTGAGAACCACCGAGCGTTCCAACTTGGGTGGAAAGAAGGGCATAGGGCTGACAAGCAAGTGGAGAGCGGTTTTACGTCAACCGCGTTGGTATGTGGTGGTTTACAATTGTGAGTGGGCATGACTCTGCCGTACAAGTCATCTGGGTCCCGACAACACAGCTAACGCAGTGTGAGATCTAGTGAATCGATCCAGTTATCCCAATATTTACTGACAGAGCACACAGACGGAGAACAAATACGAAGAATGATCAAAAGAAACAGTCCAGCAATCACAAATATTAGTCATTCAGATCGGACAGGAAAAAACTTTTGATTAACATTAAGCACTGACTGAGTCTGGAAGAACAGATCTCACTGATTGGTTCACAACCTGTCCTAAAACTGGGTCAGTTTGCTGACCAATGCACGTGGCCTGGCACAACCTTATCTAGCAGTAAATTCACCGATTGTTTACCAAAGAATTGTAAAAGGATAACTCCCCCATTTGTTTTAAATAATTCACATAAACAAANTGTGGTGTGAATCTCAGTCCCCGTCTACCGATTGTCACCGAACTTTTTTCGAAAACGACTACCCAATCGGCTCCAGTTATTTTTCACGTGATTGAAATATAAGCTTGTTTGCGGATGATAGGCTGTGTATTCTTCCCAGCTTAGTGAACTTGCCACTTTGGAGTTCCAGAGGACTGGGAATGAATCCCTGTCGGAGAAAAATCAGAAATAGTGAGGCATGATGTGGACAAAAAATGAGTTAAAAGACTGATGTCTGGGGAAGTGAGAACCGCCGAGCATTCCAACTTGGGTGAAAAGAAGGGCATAGAGTTGACAAGCAAGTGGAGAGCAGTTTTACGTCAACCGCGTTGGAATGTGGCGGTTTACAGTTGTGAGTGGGCATGACTCTGCCGTACAAGTCATCTGGGTCCCGACAACAGAGCCAACGCAGCGTGAGATCTAGTGAATCGATCCAGTCATCCCAACATTTACTGACGGAGCACACAGACGGAGAACAAGTACGAAGGATGATCAGAAGAAACAGTTCAGCAATCACAAATATTAGTCATTCAGTCAGGAAAAAAACTTTTGATTAACACTCAGCACTGACTGAGTCTGGAAGAATAGATCTCACTGATTGGTTCACAGCCTGTCCTAAAACTGGGTCAGTTTGCTGACCAATTCACGTGGCCTGGCACAACCTTGTCTAGCAGTAAATTCACCGATTGTTTACTAAAGAATTGTAAAAGGATAACTCCTCTATTTGTTTTAAATAATTCACATAAACAAAGTGACTTCAGACAACCTCACTAAAGACGTGTATGTATTTTAAATTAGTGAATGAACACCGGGGTTTCTGCAATAGCCGCAGTGAGCATGAACAGGCCCCACTCAGTGCAAACAGAGCTGACTCACTTTCGGGATCATCAGCGATACAGAACTACAGTTTGATCAATCCCACGGACTGTTGAAAATTCTATCTCCCCAAAACTAATCAGATCACACTGCTTCAACTAGTGCAATCCTATGCCTGAGCTCTCTATTCTTGAAACCTATACATTTTCACCAGAATCTTGACCTCGGCACCTTTAAAAAAACAATCCAATAACAGAAAACTAACATAGTTGACATAGTTAAACCGAAATGTCTCGACTTACCTCTTCCTGAGTTAGTTTGAAAGAGCTGGCTTTTGCGAACAAAGTTGGCACGGGAACTCTCTTGGAAGTAGCATGCGTGTCCACCGAGGTAATCTGGTTAGGGACGGATGTTCGTATACCATTAATTTGCCAAGAATTTTGAATCTTGTGCTGTTGTTGGTTTGTTGCGTGGTTGGTCTGTGAGCAACTCAAACTTTGCTTTCCTGGGAATTCGTTTTCATGCTCTGTATTCGACAGAATTGGGGCTTGTGTTCGATCTGTTCGGCTGAGAGTGAAAAAGTCGATATAAATGCGGAAAAGATTATTGGAAGCTACAGTTTTGCAAGTGAAAACAGGTAGAAAGGAAAACTCAGAGGGCCCGTCAAAGCTGACTTTCCTTTTCCATGAACGAGAATGACAAGACAGACGGCAGTAGTTACGCTGGTGCCATGGGTAACAGATGACCATGAAGGGACCTACTGCTGGTGACTTTCAAAGTAGCGTGAACTTCTCCGCGGGTAACCCACACCAAAGATTAGGAAGCTGAGTAGTTTGGATAGTAACGTTATCGACATTCTCTTGAAAATAAAAAGTTGCATGCAGGAGGCACTGAGTTGGCAACACAACCGTGAAACCAACACGTGACCGTTCAGTTCTGCAGAAAAATCGTATTCAAGCCCACATCTTTAGTCATTAGTGAGTGAAAACGGCCTCTACAGAGAACATTGTAGAGGTCACGAATTTTGGAGAAACCAAGGTCCGTCACCCTGAGGCTGCGCACTCGAATTCGGGGCTTCGTCTTTCTTGGGAGACTCATCAGATAGGTGAAGTCTCCGAGTTTCCGTCCACTTCGTGTTTTACTTGGACAACAAATTGTAAGTAGCTGGCGAACTACACTCCTTTACAAATTAAGAATAGTGAAAATGAGAGATTTACCTAGGAAGTGATCCCTCTCTTTCGTTTCCCATCGGGAAAAAAGTAAATGACTGGAGAGGCAGTTTTTGAGTGGCATAAGGACACTTTTTTGCGAAATAACTGTAGTCACGCACCTAAATCAAACTGATTACTAGGCAACCTGTGATTGTTCCAGAAACTTCCACAATCCCATACAAATACAATTCATCTCGTAAAAGATCACTTCGGGCAAATCTTGTCCGATCACTCTGCTAAAAGTGTGGAAACTCAAATTTCAGCCCAGTTCTCAAGGAGGCTGTGATGTCATGTTATTTGTACACAGATCTGTCTCATTTCGACGAATACACTCATTTGCAAATCAATTTGCTTTTCACGGGAGACTCAATTGAATCTCTCGTTTATGATGTCCTCCAGCTGAATGTGCTGCACACAGGCCGCCTCATGATTCAGTTGGCACGATATTCGAGATTCGACACCCCCCAGAAGAGCGAAACCGGTAGTGGACTGTCGAAGAGTTTTCAGCAACCTTGTGAGTAGTTTCCTTTATAGAGAGTGTCTGTCTGATCATTTTATAGTGATTCACTCAGTGTGTCACTGGAGATCATTGTCAAGGATGACGTGGAGAGACGGAAGCGAATATTACTGCTATTCTGTTAGTTAAGACTACTTCAGATCAAGTTATATATGACAAGCAATTCTAACTGAGCAATGTAACATAGATTTATTCTCCACGTTTTGGAGACATCTAAGTACAACTAATCGAATATTTCAATGAGAGGAGAGATAGTCGATAGCAGGGAAAAAACAGGGTGATCTCAGGAACACAAAAAGGTAACCTCAATTGCGGTATTTCGTGGAAAAGTCCCTCAGTGAGGCTTTACGTTTTTGGCCATCATGGACTCAAACAGGTAGGAAATAATTTAAAGGTACAACAGGTTGCCCAAATAATCGGATCAGTGACCTTAGAACAATACAGTCGTAGATAGAATCAGGAGCTTAGCCAAGCTTATTCCTCGAACAAGAGCCTTTGTCCCATCTCTTCAACTGTGGTATCCGTAGCTTATCAGTATGCAACTCTAGGAAAGCTTGAGAGCTCAGTTACTTCCGGACTGCCCTGGGGACAGTAAAAAATCCAGGCTCTAGTTTGAACCACAGACGGTAACTGTAACTGAGTGGTATCCGTAGCTTATCAGTATGCAACTCTAGGAAAGCTTGAGAGCTCAGTTACTTCCGGACTGCCCTGGGGACAGTAAAAAATCCAGGCTCTAGTTTGAACCACAGACGGTAACCTGTAACTGAGCCACGGAGTTTTTCCACGTCCTTGAAGGTCACTGCACGTGACCGAAGTTTCTTTAATTGCATTGAATCCTTTCTAGAAGGCCTCTGTGGTCAATGCAATCTTCAATATGCATATTTGTTCTGACTATGAAGGATGACCAATATGTCTGTTTCATTTGAAACTGGTCAACTTACGTGAGCCTGTCGACAGGAGTCTGGGAACTCTGGGTAGCAGATGATACCATCGGATTACTCGAGTTGGTTTGTTGTTCTCTCCTCCTGGACAGATGGCGAAAGCGCAGTGTTCCGGTTTGGTTCTAGGGTGGCCAGCAAAACATTGGTTGAAATACAAACTTCACTTGAGAACAAGCACTGCGTATTTTGATGACTTAGAGTACAATATTTTGGACGCACAAGAACTCGGTTGCCTTCTGTTAGTGAACAAAAAATCCGTTCGGATCCACACCCACTCAGAAAGTCCGCGGTTGGTGACATTTTTAATTCAGTACGAAAAATGAGTCTCCTAATATTTTACGGATCTACCGTAAGGAAACAATTTAGATTCGTAATGCACTACTCATAAGGGTGCTGACAACTCCTCGACAGCCCACGACCGGTTTTGCCCTTCTTGGAGCTAATCAGGTAGGCGAGGTCCTCCAGTTTCCATCAACTTTATGTTCTACTTGAAACCAAATTGCCTAAGGCAGAGTGGTGCAGCAAACTCAGTTGCTGGAAACATCACAAACGAGATATTCAGCTTGGTTCCAAGTTAGTCTCTCGCAAAAACCGAATTCGTTTGCAAATTAGTCGCAAAAACCAAATTCGTTTGCAAATTATTGTATTTTGCTAATTTAATTCTTTTTTTGAATAAACTGAGTCATCCAACTAGAATATAACCGGCATTCAGATGTGTGCTGAACCCTTTTTGAGTAGTATCCGTAGACTGTCCATGATTTCGTACCAGTTTCTCCTTAACTGATTACGAGTTTTTGTCAAGACCGGATAATTTCCTTTCTGTAGTGGAGACCCCGTCACACAAACAAACTTCTTCGATCGAATGCATGCACTTTAACACCGGAAATTGACAACAGAACCCTAAATGAGCAACGAAAGTCTGTAGTTTGATGAAAAAGCATGCAGTTTGCAAAACTGTAGGTGTTGCTTACGTGAACTCACAGAAAGACACTGTGGTGGGTTGCAAACGATGAATACGTTATGATGATAGGCTATCGTGAAACAAAAGTGGCGTTTTTGCTTGATGTTTCCAGAATGCTTCACATCTTTCGTAGTAAACTGCCCTTTGCTGTAGAGAGATCAGATCAGCCCAATGGAGTGCGATAACTTTACTTTACGGGTTTGAGCACATCACTAACCTGACGACATGCGATCACAGTAAGGAATTCAGTTGAGGCGGACCATCGTAAACGAGAATTAGAGCCGGATTTATTTGAGTTTCCTGTACAAATGGGTTTTTGTCGATTTTACCACTGGTTACCATAAAAGTCACGGCTGGGACCAAATGTTGGTACCTGTAGAAGCCAAGCAGCTGTGGAGTCTAATGCTAGGTCGCAGTGCACTTAGCCGTCGCTTTGACTTGCTTGAACGAAAATTCGTCAGTCCTGATGACCAGGTCATTCCCTTGTGACTGCCAGGACAAAACACCATACACACACCCACACACACTCGCCATTCGCTGGAAAATTCACATAAACTATCAGGGACTGAGATGCATACGGAGTTTGATCGAGTTTGTGTTTGGTGCAGAAATCTGATCCGCCACCTGGTTATAAACTTTGTGTGGCACACCGATTGATCTACGCTAAGGCAAGTTCAAATAGACTACAAATCGATCGATCCCCTTTGGATGCCACCTAATTAGATTTTTCAACTTGGTAGCAAAAAACACCATTGAAACGGTGATTCAGAGTGTGGCCACTAAGGTAGTCACGTGTGACAGTCACAGTTATCCATAGGAACGGATTGACCTCACTGTCATGTTGAATTGGAGGATCTTGGGAGCTCCACACCCCCGATTCTTGTTTCATCAACTGGAGTAACTAGCACCTGGGTTCCCGATAAATCGCTGAATAAGGCACGAATTTACTGAACCGAAGGTCGGTGTTTCGAACCCAGCTTCCACATATCGACGGTTCCTGTCTAGACTTGGGCAATCCATTAGAATCTCAACTCTTTGTGCTTCATTCAGCAAAAAGCGAAAAGCGTCAAATTTGAATGGTTTTGGGTTGTCATTCTCAGACGCTACCCATGTGCACTGCAACCGACAGATCCTATAACGGAACAGGGGCCGTAGGCTGCTGGAGACTTGCGTGGCTACTATGAGAATGCAACGTCGCCCAACTTGGATATTCTGTTTGTGCCAACTGATTGATGATTTGATGAACGTAGTGACCAACATAGGGAGCAATCATTCGCTTGTAGCCATCTCTATTGCTGCTCCCCAGCCCGTTTGTTCAAAATTCTCGTCATCGGTTTCCTCATTCACTTGAATAAAATTGACCGGAATCGGCATACTGAAGCTCTGTTCCAACAGGATAATTGTTGTGCTTGAAGACATTGATGTGGAACTCGGGAAAATGGAATTGTTGCTCTGAGACCGCCTTCACCCCGAAGGTTATATAGTTCATATATTGTACTGTGATGCTGAATGCCCGATTAGCGAGAGAACCGAAATAAACCGAACCAACTGAGCGTTAAGTGTACAAACAGGGGACAAAGCTCAACCCAAGTGAGCGCTCTGGGAGCAGAGCGAGGCAGTAACCACCCACGCAAGATCATCTACCGACGGCTGGTACAGGCTGATTGACAAAACTGCTGGTTACACGTGGAAGAATAGAGTTGGCTGACTGCTGAGCCTGTGAAATAGACGGGCTGTCCAGATGCTATTAGACGTGGGTTGTTATTCCAGTGTAACGGTGACACTACTGATGGGGAGGCATGTGAGTAGTATGTTCGGTTCTTGTAGATTCCCTTGGCTTCTCTTGAAAAGGGAGATCTGTTGCGGAATTTGTGGAGTCGCTTTGTAGCATTTGCTTGGATTTGAACAATGAATGACTGAAGTCAATGAATCTCCAG